CGTAACTCTGGCCTCAGAGTCAATGGAGATACCAGCACCTTCTTTCCAAGCAGGCATAGGGTCATTTGCAGAACTCAGGTGACTCTTGGAATCATGGGAATCAGAGACAGTCCATACCTCTATATTATTGGCTCACAAAACTTTAACCTGGTGACAAGTGCCCAAACCTATTTAACCGTCCCTTGAGCATAAAGGGTGGAAGTGGAATGTGCATCAGTGACCTCCCAACACCCTTAGAACAGTTGGCTCTACACAACTGCAAGTGCACTGCAGCCCCAGGTTACAACAGCACACAGCCAATGCTCCCCATCCCCGCAGGGGCTTCTTACACCAGGACCTCCTCAGGTTGGGAAACCACTCCTGCTCACACCTGCAGAGCACTTACTGGATGGACTCTTTTCACATCTACACTCCATCCTCTCTGCAGAACTCCCCTCAAAGGACACATGTGCAAGGAAAGCACACAGCTTTACACAAAGCCTAGAATCTGAACAGGAGCAAAACCTGCAGCAGAACAAGCACATCAACAAAAAGCATTGAAAAATAAGTAAACTTGATCCCACAACACCAGTTGATCTCTTCTCATAGCTGAGTCTGCTTCAAGCAGGGGACCGGACTAGAAATTTCCTGAGATTCCTTCCAACATGAATTATTCTCTAACTCCCTGAGAGCCAATACAGCTAGAACATACACAGAGGTGAACAAGGAAGAAGGGAAATATTGCATATGACTTTTTAAAACCAGGGTCTGAACATCGGAAAAGTACAGCATCCGGCAATACGATCCTTGTCCTGAAGACCAACAGGGTCTACTAGAAACTAACAAAATCTGGTTGACTTGGCTGAACCAAAAGAGCAGTCACAATGCTTCTTTCCTCCATGGAGAAAAAGAGGCCCAAAGAATCATAATGGTCTCTAAACCCTGCTGCCATGCCTTATCCTCCATGCTCCATTTAGACATTTGAATAGAGACTTTGTGGAATGGGCCCCCAGGCAAGTCATTGGTAGAGTTGAAAACCCCTTCCCTGCTTGACTGAGCTTCCTCTTTTTTCTCTATGTCCAACTGTCTGCACACCAGTCACTACTTAAGGGTACAGTATAGTATATCTTCATGCTGGAACTGCTACTCCTGCCACCTCTCCAGTGCTTCATGTTCCCCAGCCTCTGTCAAGCCTCATCAAAGATCTGCTATCAGTCCTGCTTATAAAGCCTCATGATCCTCTCAAACACAGCTTTGACGCTGTCCTCCATCTCCTCCCTACTTCAGCCCTGTGGTGTTGCAGCATCCTCTCTGGGATGCCTGCAACAACACGGGGACCAGATCAGAGGTGAAGAGGTAGGGGAAAGAAGCTGCTGTGGCATTCTCCTCTTCAGAAGAATATGCAGAAGAAAGAAAAGCAAGTCTGTTGGTCCTTGAATATATGTGACAATGCATGGTTCTGTTGTTTATTGCCACCCCTCCTACAAGTCTTAGGGTATCAAGGACACAGTTTTCTGTAGGTGGCAGTAATACTAGGTGCCCTGGTTTCGGCAGGGATAGAGTTAAGTTTCTTCCTAGCAGCTGGTATAGTCCTGTGTTTTGGATTTAGGATGAGAATAATGTTGATAAACACTGATGGTTTTAGTTGTTGCTAGGTAGTTGTTGTGTCTACACTAAGTCAAGGACTTTTCAGCTTCTCATACTGGTCTGCCAAGAGAGAACAGCGGGCACCCAAGAATCTGTGAGGGGACACAGCCAGGACAGCTCACCCAAACTGACCAAAGGGACATTCCACACCATATGACGTCATGCTTTGTGTATAACTGGGGGAGGGGGATGAGGTGGCTGGGAGTCAGGGCAGCAAGAACTAGCTGAGCATCAGCTTTGGGTGGTGAGAAATTGTGCTGTGCTTCTCAAGTCTGCATATTATATTCTTACGAACTGCCAGTGCTGTGAAATAAGTCACTCTTTATCACCATATACGGTCTCTGCATTGGAACATTCATGAGCAGCAAAGGTTTAAGGAGCAACCAGCTGACGCAGGGCAGCTGAACATGCAGCCTTGTCAGTAAAGGAGCAACCAGCAACCAGCAGGGCAGCTGAACATGCAGCCTTGTCAGTATGTGCATGGGTGTGTGTAGTGAAGGAGGTGTCTCCAAAACTGTCTGCTACCTCACTTGATAACACACATGCTGAATAAATGGAAATCTTTCAACCTACTGCCATGGTTTAGGTTAGGACAGATTAAATGCACACATTAACTACTGCACAGTAATTCAGATATTTATTGCCTCAGAAACTACAAACAGAGCACTACAAAGCTGCAGAAAGATAGTTCTCTCTCCTTCCCCTCTCCTTGCTGACAAAAGCAGTGGTTATCAGTGGTCAGGAGCAGCAGTGTTAAGCTGGTCCTGGCCATGTGAGCTTGGCCCCAGCCATCCCTGGAGGCCCTCCAGTCTAGAGGTAGAACCATGCTGACACACCACCACCTCTCTGCCCCTTCAAGCTGAGATAGATGAGTTTTATGAGGTGGAGAGCATCTTTCAGATTGTTTTGTGTTTACCAGTCAGTGGAGTTCTCTGAGTTGTTGTTCATTGATTGGAGTGGCAAGTCACTGAATCGTTTAAGCAGGCTCAGCTATGAGATCAGACCAGCTGGTGTTGAATCACTCACTCTTGTATAAGTTTGGTTCTGCTATTTCTGCCAGTTACATCGTTTTTTCCCTGCAACACCTGGCTTTATCTGACAAAAAGTTACATCCCTAATACCTGCACAGCAGCATACCAAAGGTCCAACTGTGGACTCTGACATTCACCTCATTACTCAAATTATGCCAGCTCAGTAGACCATGACACTTTCCACCCCTTGCTCTACACCTCCCTAACACTCACTCATTTAACGGTACATAGTAGGAGGTTACTTGCATCATAAATTACATCCTTTGCAACCGTCTGCAGACTCAAAGCTTGGAGATAATAGAAGATACGACATAACTAGTCAATCCCATGTTCATCTGTCCATAATTTCATCACTTTGCTTTTGAAGTGAGATCCATTACCAATAATTTCTGCTGTATCATATCTCCACAAAATTTTTTTTTGCAAGACCTACCACAGTTCTTTTAGCATGGCATAAGCTGCTGGGCGAGCCTCCAGTCAACTTGCAGTTGTTTCTTTAAAATAACTAGGACATATTGATTCCCCTTACCAGGCCTGTACAAAGGTCCAATGTAGTCTACTTACCACACATCTCCAATCTGGTAGTTTAAATGACAGTATGTGTGCACATTATACATGCATATATATATATATCATAGAACCATAGAATGGTTTGGGTTGGAAGGGACCTCATTTTAATTATGTTTGCATTTCATAGAATAGAACCATAGAATCTTTAAGGTTGGAAAAGACCTGTGAGATCATCAAGTCCAACCGTCAACCCAACACCACCACGTCTACTAAACCACGTCCCAAAGTGCCACATCTACACATTTTTTGAACACCTCCAGGGATGGTAACTCTGCCGCCTCTCTGGGGAGCCTGTTCCAATGCCTGACCAGTCTTTCAGTGAAGAAATTCTTCCTAATACCCAATCTAAACCTTCCCTGGTACAACTTGAGACCATTTTCTGTTGTCCTTTCGCTAGTTACTCGGGAGAAGAAACCAACACCCACCTGGCTACAACCTCCTTTCAGGTAGTTGTAGAGAGTGATAAGGTCTCCCCTCAGCCTCCTTTTCTCCAGATTAAACAATCCCAGTTCCCTCAGCTGTGCTCCAGTCCCTTCACCAGCTTTGTTGCCCTTCTCTGGACACGCTCCAGCAGCTCAATGTCCTTCCTGTACTGAGGGGCCCAAAACTGAACACACTTCCACTCAGTTCAAGTCGCATGCTATACCATTACCCAACTTTTTAATCTTTTTTTTTTTTCTATTTAAAGATTAAGCTTTCTATTTTTTTATTTACATGCAGTATGTGATATAACAATGAATCAATGCTTTTTAGGACCTTCATGAGCCAACAAATCTCAGATAATAAAATTTAGTAGTAATACATTAACTATATCAAAACGATACCAGCCAATATCTAATAACTTGTAAGCAACTGCACACCAACACCAGTTTTACTGGTGCACACACATTGCATGGATTTTTTATACATTAAGTCCTGTGGAAACAATGCATACATGACCTGATTGTGTCTAAGTACATATGCTTCAGTAAGCAACAGAAAAACTGTATGCAGAAATAAAAAAAAAAATCAATTCCTAATCTTTGCTTCTTTGTTTATTTCAACTGTCTTCAAGGCTGACACTATTTTACTCCATGGTTTGTGCAGCACCTCACACAAATGGCCATCAAACAAATTAAAATGCACCTAAACATACTTCTATAATAGCAAAAGACAATTGTAAGTAGGCTTAAAAATGTTACCTGACCACTGCTGCTGGGATATCTCACACCAGTATTTCCTTACTGAGAGGATATCTTTTAGAAGTATACTACTACAGTCAGATCCATAGGCAGCACAACTTGTTGGATCTCTTATAATTTCCATGACATAAACCAGAAGTTCTTGACATTTCAGTCTGGGTCCTCCTACATGAAGAAATAACATGAGACTGTAATTAATCCAAAGTATGCCAAATAAATCTGAAATGAATTGTTTGTATATATTTACTTAAAAATAAAAACCCCCACCCTAGAGTTCAGAAACAGTTCTGTTAGGAATCATCTTCTTAAACAAACTGTTTCTAAGAAAAAAATTAATTATGGCAGGATGCATCAGTTATATACACATTGAATAATAAGAAAAAGGCACTGTGAGCATCAACAAGGACAGAGGAGCACAAAGGACTGATTCACATGAACATATTTAAATCGTCAACACCTGGAAGGGAGCAAGATGAATCCCACCCTGGTAATTTACTTCAGAGTAAAAATTCAAAGTTGAAAGCAAAGCATCAAAACAAAACAGTAATTATATATGAATAAATATTACTGACTTTTATTAGCACATCTAATGAAATATTTGACCAAACTTCCAACTTCTTGCATCTTTTTCTGTCTGGTAGTTTGGGTTGAAGCAGATGCATTTGGTTTTGTCAGTTGGAGGTTTTGCATTTCTTTCTGGAAATACTTCTGCAGGACACTTCAAAAATAAAAGAATATTGATCAAGGAGCTGCATATTTATAACTAAATTAAAATATGTAAATATTGTTCTAGCCTACAATGTCAGTGCTTGTTCTTGCAATTCTAATTATCAAAGACTAAAACCAACTGAAATAGGTAACAGTCTAAGCACGATGCAAATAATCTATAAAAGGAGCTGTAAATTTTAAAGATAATCCAGAAGCAACTTGAATAGGAACCAAACTTACTTTAAACTTTGCATAATGCTAAATATACAATTTATAATTAGGACAAAAAGCAATGCTAAGTCTTTTTATTTATCCTGCAACATTATACAACAAAATAATAAAGAGTACTCTTCATTGTTTTTATTGGGGAAAACCTTCAAGTCCTATTTCTCCATAATTTAAAATTAACATATAGATTAGAGTTTAGATCTAAGAATAGATTAAACTTTTTACTGGCTTTGTCACTGGCAATTACTGTAGATTTTCTGGCCTGCTATTTATATTCAGTTTAGAGTCTCTATTTTTGTATTCCTCCTATGTATTTCTAATATATTATTGACCATTTCAAAAGCAACATATAAAATTTATCAAATTCTTATTATGATATTTTTGGTACAGCTATGAAACACAAACCATTCCAATGCTGTCCAATTTAAAAACATAACAGAAAGCTGACCAGACACTAGCCTATGAAAACTAATACTTCAGATGCACTTTTAACATGCAATTTAACACTGGTCCCAGCTGCTCTAAGAACTTACACACTCATACTCAGTCCAATCTTGTAGCACACCTAAAGTAGGTCTTATCAAAGACGGGCCTCTCAAACCTCAGCACAGCTTCTTTAATTCACAGGCCACAGTCCTTCTATTGTGTCTTGAAGAACTCAGTAATACAAAAAAAATTCTAATGAGCTATCTATAATCCACATATGAACTATACGCTGAAAAATCAGATACCGAGGATAATTTTCAATAAAATAAAGTAACTACTACTTTTGCAAGGAAAAACGACCACTCAATCATCAGTTTCCTAGCAGTTAAGTTTTCTGTATATGATAAGTGTTGCATTTTTGGCATTTTATATTTTCTTCCTTTAGAGACTAACATAAGTAATTTCTTGTTTACAAGCTGACAAGAAGTCTAAATCAATTTGCAGAAAGATAAGCATTAAAATAGGCCTGATAAACAAAAGAATCATGTTCCATGTAAGAAAATTGCAACCATTCACAAAGAAAAAAAAAAAAAAGAAACTACCCAAACATAGCATCCCAGTTGAGTTGCTTTCCTTGTTTAGAATCAGAATTCCGGTCCAGCTGGAGAACTGTTTCAGAATCACGTAGCAGTCGTTTGAAATTTTCAATTTCCTTCTGAAAATGTATGTCAAGAAAGGGAATTATTAAATTATTCCCTTCATTGCTAAATGAGGCACACACACCAAAATAAAACTTGTTACCCTTCGCTCCATAGCTTTCTCATTTTCAAGGCGACGACAACAAATGAGCAGATCATGTAATGCAAGGCTCATGGTTCAGTTTAACAGAAGAGTCACTTGTATCTGCAAACAGAAGAAAGGGATAAAACAGTAATTATCTTATTTAACACAGAGCCAAGTCAACCAGTCCAAAAATTCGGAATGCAATATATTGAAAATCCAGTATCAAACACAACCACAGTGTTATTTCACTGGAAAGCTCGTTCATCTCTGTGTTAGTCTTACTGGTCACAAGACCAAAGCAAAGTCTCATGTCAAGAATGTAATCTACTCCCACAGGCAACAGTTGTAGACAGTAACAGCAGAGACCTCCTTCGTGTAACTCCAACTTCCTCCCTTTGGAGTGGAAACAGAGTTGGTCAGACAATACAGAGTGAAATAAGATAACAATGACACAGAACTGAGAACATTCAGGCAAACAGCACTAACTTTCAGCAGCCAGCTGTTAGCAGCAGCTGTCTTAACCTGCTGCTGCAGAAGGTGGCACTTTGAAAACTCTCTTCCTCTCTCACATCCTACATTTTCATCAGCATGCACTATCACAGTGACAAATCCCTCTGGACTCAACATGTCAAAGGATGCTCGAGTATCAATCGTAAGAGGAAACAACTTTTTCCTTCTATGACCACTTAAAATTATGCTTCATCTTCAACTGGAAGCTGGAATTAGCTAGACTTTGCATTTCTGGTTTACATAAGATTATGCTGACACAGATGACAACAATGACATTGTATACAACTTCTATGCTTCTCCTTTTACCCCTTTAAAGCAGCCCTAGGAAAAACTCTGTCTGAAAAAAACACAAGTTGAAAGTAACTCCAAGCATATGCTGCTGCGGCTACAATAAGCAATCGAGAATGGGCGTTCACGATGCATAGCACTGCATCTTGAGCACTTAAGTGAGAATATAAAAATACCCATTTAGACCAATACAACTTTAAATATCTACTGTCTTAGAGTATATTTATTTCCTTTGGCTTCAGCCAAGATCAGGCTGGGACTAAGTATGATCAGAGATATGGTGTCTGATCAGGTGTGTATGAAAAGGAAAATGTCCTAAACATGAAGGTTGGCTGTACTGTACAACTGAATTCATTTATACGATGAAGTGCTCCTCTACTAAGTTGCTGTTTTTGCTGAAAAAGAAAGGAAGAAGCAACTTTCTAAACACTGATGGCTTCTAAAATGTTGATGGGCTGAAAAACGGTTGACTGAGAACTGTGGCAAGATAGGTTGTATGTTGTAGGGAAGGGGAAGAAGTCAGTTTTCTCGTTTGTACTTAACACTATTGCAACCGTCACAATAACAGTGAAGAATTTCTAAGGCTGAATCCATCTACTCTTTCTCTTCCTAGTTACACAGTTCTTCAACTATCACGTTATGACTATGTTCCTCCCCTAGAAAAACTGCACAAGGCAAGGAACGAAAACACCCCCCCCAAAAAAAAAAATCACGGAGAAGCGTTTACTAAGCAGCTGTAGAGCCGCTCACACACATGCGTA